TGGGCCCCCCAATCAGCGGGAACAGTACTGCCGTGACGTTACTGGGGCCTCTGCCGGCAACCCCAGATATCAGAAATGCCTAGAGATCTTTGCTGAGGTTCCTAAACAATTTGCCTCTGTCAGTGTGGGTATGTCATGGGACCCCAGGGACACCAAACCCAAAGGAATCCTGCCCAAGAACCTCCATCCTGACTGGCCCCTCTTTTCCATGGGTCCTCCATCCCAAGGAGGACCCCTACCCTGAACAGCACCCTACAATCCTCTGGGATTCCCCACTTCAGTCAAGGCCCTCACAATGATGCTGACCAGGATCCCAGGAAGTTGGAGACCCCAGGAACCCACCCCAGACAAGCATCCTTGGGACTCAGAATCATGCCAAGGCCTCCCATGTCCTGATCTGGACTCCAGGGACCTTTGGGAACCCCAGCCCTGCCTGAGACCCTGAGAGTCATCCAACCTTGACCAGGGAGTCCCCAGGGATACCTGACCCCAGGATCCCTAAACCCTGTTTGGAACTCCAGGAACCCCCAGAAACCCTCCAGACCTTACTGAAACTCCAACCCTAACCCTGTATACTGATTCCAGTGTTCCTGTACTGGTTCCAGGGGCAGGGCAGCATGAGGAACTTCGGGACATTGTCATGGATGCTTTGTACTATCTAGAGGAGCAAAAGGGAAAGAGTGAGCAGGGGACATGGGGCATGGGGCATGGGATGTGGAGGCCTTGAAGGGGCATGGGATGGAGGCGAAATATGGAGGTCTGGAGGCAGTAAAGGGATATTTGGGGAATCCTGAGGGTATATAGGCTTCAAGGTATACAGCTTCTTGGGGGATTTGAGGGGGTATTTGGGAATATAAGGGACTCCAGGATGGATATGTGGGGTTGAGGTGAGTTGTATAGGGGATCTGTGGTGTCTGGGAAGGGTTCATGGGGGTCCTGGGGAGGACACATTGTCTCATCTGGACATCTGGGTCACTCCAGAGTCCTTTGACACGGCCCTTGAGGAAACTGTCAGGACAATCTGGATGAAGCTCAGCCGGCTGGGGAAAGGTATGGGGCCAGTGGGGACCCCCACCCCAGGAACCCTTGTCCTAGAGAAACTCCCAGGGACTCCATCTGGGCTGGACAAGGGCTGAGCCCGTCCAGCTCATCGTAAAGATGTGAGTCCCCAAGTGTTCCCCAGTCTAACGCTGTTTCCACCCCACCAGTTCCAGCCTGCATCCCACCCTGTGGTGAGTGCCTGTCCCTCTGTCTTGCCCTTCCTTGTCCCCTAGTACATCTCCCATCCCACTGGGACCACCAAGACTCTCTTTCCCAGGATTCCAGCCAGCTGCCCGTGTCTTCCAGTGTGCTACCTGCCGCTTTGTGGACTGCGAGTTTTCCCTGGACTGCCCAGGTATGGGACCATGCCAGACTGTTGCATTAAGAGTAAGGAAATCTTCCCCAACTTAACCCCTTTTTTAGCTTCTTTTTGTACTATTTTTAATATTTTGGTGGAGCTTGAGTGGCTCCAGTCATGCCTTTGCATTTAAAGGTCCAGGCTAGAAAGATGCAGAGCGCGCACTCAGCAAGGGATGGTTGTACTTTGGGACTGGGTAACTGTTGAGATGGAGGTGTATTTGGTATTATAATGAGATGATAATGAGCAAAGTGCCTCCAAAGGACAGGACTCCCCACAAAATAAAGCAATTGCTAGCTCAGCAACTCAGGCTCCCAGGCTGGGTTCACCTGCCCCTGGAGCTGAGTGCCCCCAGGAGAACGCCCTGCATTTCTCACCGGTGCTCCCACCCTGAGCACACCTGCCAAGGTGTTCAGATTCCCACCCCTGCAGCCAGCGCAGGAGCACCATCCCCTCTGTCAGGGCACACCCAGGTGTGAGCTCACGTGCCTGGCAATGCTCCCAGTGCAGGACATGCAGACCTACACGGATGAAACCATCGTGCTGAGCTGTGACGTGCCGTTCGCCGTCCCCACCGGCCTGCCCGTCACCTGGATGTTTGTCCCAAATGTGAGTTGCACGTGAGCGTGGAAGGGTGTGAGTGGACATTCTGGGGGGGGGCTGGGCATGGGTAGCCAGGCCTGCACACACACACACACACACACACACACACGCACACGCACAGAGCTGTTTGCTTGGTGTGAGGTCTCTCACAGGTACAGGTACTGCTGCAACCATCTGCTGGAAGCAGCAGCTGTGAAAGCACAGACAGAGGGCAGGTCACTTGTGTGTTTGAAGATTTGCGTGGGCACAGGTGGAGTCATAAAATTAGAGGATAGTTTGGGTTGGAAGGGACCTTAAAGCTCATCTCACTCCACCCCCTGCAATGGGTAGGGACACCTTCCTCTAGACCAGGTTGCTCCAAGCCCCGTCCAACCTGGTCTGACTGAACAAGTTGTGTTTCTTTAAAAAGGAGCCTGTGCAGGAGTGAGGGAAAACGTTAAGAGGTGATTTTAGATAATGGATGACGGGCAAGCTCTGGGTGATGCCCATGTGTTAGGAAAACAAATTAAAAATTTAGGGCTTTTGATATACTTTAGTGCTCTCAGACCTGGAGGGGGAAGTTAACAAAGCCTGGAAGAGAAATTTACTGTTGGGAACAGAACACCAGGACTGCAGAATTTATAAACCACATAGACACGTTACATAAACCAGAGATGCCCTATCTGGGAAAAAGATAATAGAAAGACTGAAAATGTGGACCAATTATCATAGAATAATAATTCGCTTAGAGAATTATATAATGTGTAAGCCAATGTGTCCACTGTGGTTGTGCATGGCTGTGTGCACACACGGGGCACAAGGAGAGTGTGTGGGATGGGATGTGTGTGCACTCGTGTGCTGTCCCGTGTGCCTGGTGGGCTGCGCTGATGAATCCCACCCCCACGCCCCAGCTGCGCACGCAGGACATATCGCTGTTCAAGGAGCTCAAGGGGAATCCAGAGAAGCCCTTCAGCCTGACCATCGAGGAGCCCTCTCCAGGAACCGTCGCCTGTCGCCTGGGGGAGGTTTCCAAGCCCTTTGTCCGCAAGTTCTTCTACCTCAATGGTGAGCCCCGACACTGGAGTGCCCTGGGGGCAGGGAGCAGTGCCCTGGGGGGGAGCTGAACCCCAGACACCTGGGCCCATGGGAGGGGGTGCTTGGGGGTGTTGGCAGGGTGCCAGGACACATCAGTTCATGGTGTGAGCTGGAGCAGGCATTCCCTGATCCCTGGCTCCTCTGGGGACACTGGGGCGTGTGGGTTGGAGCAGGGACCCCCAGACAGCGAGGTCTGTGGCTGGGGCAGGTGCTGCAGGGCCCTGTGACCTGAGGTGCCGGTGTCCCCACAGTGTCAGAGGGAAGCGTGGAGGAAGAGAGGGGGCTCCAGGCTGTGTTCAATACTGTGCTGCACTGGCTCCACAACGAGACCCCCGTGCACCCCATACCAACGATGGGGCTGGCACTGGCAGTTGCCTCCCTGGCGTTCGTGCTGCTGCTGGTGTGAGTATTGCTGGCCTGGTAATCTGTACCCTCGAAGTCCCCATGGCTTCTGGGGTCCCTCACAGAGCAGCAAGGGACTCCCAAACTCCACGGGATTCTCAGTCACTTGGGATTCCCTGCAAGTGGGAGGGGACCCAGGTGTCCCAGGGTCAGCCATAGACTGCCAGGACTCCAAAACTCACAGTCCCCTGGGACTTCCATTGTCCTCTGGCCCATTCCAGGATCTCCCCCTTGCATCCAGGATCACTCCAGGCTGCCTTGCTTCCGACAGATTCCCTAATTACCCCTGAAACCCTGAAACTTTGCCCTGTTTTCCCTAGAACCCCCACTGTCCCTTTGGGGGCCCCAGTTACAGTTAGTTGTCCCAGTTACCCTCATGGTCCCACTCCTTCACCCTCAGAGCCATCAGCTGCTCCAAGGGCCCCCCAGTTGCCCCTTGAGCCCCTCAGATGCCCCATGTGTACCCACTGCCATCCTCACATCCCCTGATGGGAATATAAGGTGTCTTCCTGGCTTCCCCTCTTTCTTCATCCCTCCTTCTCTCTTCCAGGGCCATATGTCAGTGTGTCCGCTGGATATCCCACAGACATGAACAACAGCGTACCCTGGAGGATTCCAGATCCCTGAATTCACCCTTGGGACCTTAACACATGGATTCATTTCCAAGGACCAACATTTCTGCAGTTGTTTTTTTTTTTTGTGCTGGATGTGCAAATGGAAACAGTCTAGAAACAGAAATACAGAGTTCTGAAAAGCTGGATTATGCTGGTGATAGAAATCTGGAGTTCTTTGGCTTGCAGACAGGAAAGCTGGGTACTGGAGACAGCATTTTTCTTTTCATGGGTGGACATTCCAGCTGCAGAGCTGTCAGTTCTGGTGATGGTGGAGGAGCCTGAGCTGTGGCCCCCCGGCTGCAGCCCAGCCTGTCCTGCCCTGTTCTGACCCCAGTGAGGACCTGCTCCTCCTGCAGGTGTCCCCCATTTCCTTCTGTGGGCACCCACATCTCCTCTGTTTCCCTCATCAAACACTCAAATCTCCTCTGTTGCTTTCAGTATCTGTCTGGTGCTGACTTCGCCCCTCTGGGCACTCTCACATCCCTCTTTTTCATGACAAGTACCCTCAGATTCCATCTGTTACCCTCCACTGATGCTCCAATCCCACTATCCATTCTGTGGGTGCTCAGTTCCTATGGGTTCCATGATGATGTCCCTCCCAGCCCCTCTGTGCACCCTCGTTTCCCTCCACTTTCCCTCCATACACAGTGAGGTCCCCTCTGTTCCCTTCATGCTCAGATTCCTGTTGGCTGCCCTCCATCCACCCGGTTTCATTCCAATCCTGGGCAGACACTTGCTTTCCTCTGCAGCCACCATCCTTTGTGACCAGTCTCCCAAATCCAGTGCCCAGAGGCCACAGCTGTCTCATCTGTCTTACAGAAACCTTTCATCAGGCCCATTCAGCTGCCCCCTTGCAGGTCAGGACTGTGGCCCACTGGGGAGTCAAGACATCTCCTTCCCCCAGATGGAAACCCCTTGCTCCAGAAAGCACCAGCTGCTCCAAACACTGTCCCACAATTCCCTGGAAGTCTTGGGGCCCCACCCAGAGCCACGCTGGGTTTGACAGGAGCAGATTAAACAAGAGCCCCTTGACGTGGCAGCACCTGCTGCAGTGGTGGGAGGCAGGGACAGCCCCATGTTTGCTCTCCACCTGTGACTGGTGACTGTGAAGTTCAAGTGTTTGTTCTCTGAGCTGCACTCTTCAAAGTTCCCAAATACGCTGTTACCAGGGGAAATTCCATCCAAGTCACTAAGCACTCACAGAAGAGACCATTCCAGGGATTCTTGCTGGCACGGCGATTATTTTCTTTGCAGCTTAGGGACCTGTGCACTCAGAACCACGGGCACCTCCACCTCAGCTGGTATTTTATGAGGGCACAAAGGAAATCAACCTGATCTCCTCCTCCAGGAGAAAAGCAGGGCAGGACCCGCTCAGCCCGCCCACTGCAGGAGGCACTACAAATGCCTCTGTTCCACCGGCTGCTCCAGAGCTCTGCGCTCCAAGAGCATTCCCACCTGGAGCCATGGGTGAGTACAGGGCTGGGAAGGAGGGGGGTCCTTGCCAGCAGTGGTAGAGTGTAGGTAGGGCAGCCCAGCAATAGGGAGAGGCTCCATGCACACTGATGGGGAGCAGTGGCACCAGTGCCCTCCTTGGAGCACTAGCAGCCTGTCCCCTGCCTTCTGGCTCACCCCAGCCAGTCCCCTGCTCCAGGGTCCAGGAGTGAAACTTGGCTCAGTCGGTTGTTGGGTGCTTTGCTCCACCCAAAACTACCCTGTGCTTGACTTGCTGGGAGCAGATCAAGGGGAAAAGGCAAGGTTGCCTACCCCTTGGGCAAGCCTTTCAGCTTGCAGGAAGCAGCCTGATGCTGCCCAGCATTCTTGGTGCTCTCCTGCACCTCACGGGGCCGTGTTAATTGTGGTGCTGGAGCCATGGGATGTCCAGTCTCTCTGCAGGGATGGTCCTGTTTCATCTTTTCTCCATCTTGTCCCTTTCTAGCAGCCCAGTGCCTTCTGCTCCTTGCTTGCCTGCTGCTCTTGGCTGCTCCAGGCCACTCTGTGCACACAGAAACCCTAAACATCTTCAAGAAATCTCCCTCCAATGCTTCGGCAAGTGCTCTGAAGAAAACCAGTAGGTAGCATCCCGTGGGCATCTGGTGTGGTGTGGCTGTGTACAGCCAGCTCTGTGTGGGAAAAGGCCCTGAACCATCCCCTGCTCTGGGATGGAGGATGGTGGAGATGCACCTAACAAAGGCTGCAGTGTCTGTGTGTGTGTGTGTGTGTATGCACTGTGCAGGCTGGGAAGGGTTTCTGTGTGTGCTTGAAGAGGTCATTTTTCCCCCTGTTCCCTCAGTCACGGGCAGGGGCAAGGTCCTCTTCACCTTCCTCCCAGCATGACCCTGTTGCAGTGGCACAACCCCTTTTTCAGGAGACCTAGAGATGCTCTGTAGTGCCCATATTCAGTCCCTTGGCCTCGTACCAGCATAGCCAAGAAAGGTCTGGGACCTTTCACTGGGGCTGGTGCCCCTTATGGAAAAGGAATAGAGAGTTGAGGACAACCCACTTTCACCTCCAAACCTCTCTAGGCTGGGAGAGCTGATTATGCCCCAGGTGCTCTGGGCAGTTGTCCCTCTCTCCTGCCCCTGGGTGAAACAAGGTCTTGTCCTGTTGTATCAGCTTTTGTTCAGTCCCCTTCTGTCCTGCCCCAGGTTGGCCCAGGGACTGCAGTGAGGTCCCTGCTGGCAGCCCCAGCGGTGTCTACATCATCCAGCCCACAGGACTGCACCCTATCATGGTGTACTGTGAGATGGGTGAGGCAGATGGGGGCTGGACTGTGATCCAGAGGAACCGGCAGGACACGGATATCACCTGGAACGAGTCCTGGAGCACCTACAAGCACGGCTTTGGGAATGTGCACACCGAGTACTGGCTGGGCACCGAGAACATCCACCAGATCACCAGGCAGAAGGTCTACCAGGTCAGGTTTGTCATCTGGGATGCTTCAAACAACAAGAGGTTTGCAGACTACAACCTGTTCAGCGTGGATGATGAGTCCCAGGGCTACAGGCTGAGGCTGGGGGCGCACTCGGGGACAGCAGAGGATGCCATGGATTCAGATAATCCCAGGAAAGTCCACAACAACATGAAGTTCTCCACAAAGGATCGGGACCAGGACACCTACAGAGGGAACTGTGCCTCCCGCTATGGGGGCGGGTGGTGGTACTCGGCGTGTTACTCCGTGCGGCTGAATGTCAGGGGGAGCATCACATGGGGCAGGCTGTGCAAGGGGAACTGCAAAGCCTCTGCAATCCTCATCAAACCAGCTCCCTACCACTAGAACTCCTTCCCTCCTCTGCTCCCCCTGGGCACATGGCCAGGCCAGTGCCCTGCGGGGCCCGTTTGATGATGGGGGCTGGGGGTGAGTAGGGTTGTTCCTCTATATCAAGAGCTGCTTTGTTTTCCTCTTATCCTGAAAAATAGCAAAGTTCCCTGCTCTGTCTCTGGCCATTCACCTACAGTGGGTTTTGGGGGATCATTATTAGCACACATGTTTATAAAAACTGCAGTGTCCAAGCATTTTCCTTCTGGGGACAAAACTGTGCTCAGAAACTTAAAACCCTCCTGGTCCAGCAAGGTCTTACTCTCCCTCTGCTTTGTGGGTATAGATGTTTTCAGTAGAAAAATATCCATCACTAGCTAACCTGACCTACACTGCACTGAGCCCCGGGCAGACCATATCTGCACCACAACCCTGCTGCAGTCTGTATTCACCCTGCCAAATAAAATCACTTTCAGATCTGCATAGGTATCCTTCATTTGTTTGGGAACTCCTTGCAACTGCTCCCAGTTTCCTGCCAGGAGCAGACTTGAGGCTCCTGGTACAGCAGGAAACTGTTTTCAAAGGGAAATTTTTTCATAAGACTCAAGCAAGGAATTAAAGACACAACTTTCACTTAATGAAGGGAGTTGGATTCCAAGGTGGAGATCTTTCAGAAAGGGAATGCATTAGCACATGGTCAGTAACAAGCACTGAGGGTGGGAGGGAAGCGTCAGGTCAGTTCAACCCTGCCAGCCATGACCTGGAGCTCACCATGGAGCAGAGGCCAGGCCAGCATCATCCTGCCTCATTAACCTTGTGAACACTGGGAGGGAAATGGGAGAGTGAACTGGCAAGAAAGGAACAACAGCACTGCAAGGCCACACAGTACCACATGGTCGGTATGTCTGGGCAGGTGTAAGATCCCTGACGTGGCAGGGATCCCGCAGTTTCAAGTTTTTGGATCAGCTTGGGTCTGTATGGGCTTGCTCCAGTGTGGTGATATCTCCATGCGCTGGATAGCTCAGCAGTGGACACGGTACCTGTGATGTGGTCTCCCAGTACTGAGAAGAAGGAGTCTCCCAGGTGCTGGGGGATGCCTTGCTGGCTGCCCTCTCGCTAACAGAGCCCAGGAATGCAGCTCAGCATCCCTCAGGGCTGGCTCAGGGGCAGAGTGCTCTTTACCAGCAGCCCAAAGCCCTTCTGCCCAGCCTCTCCCCTCACATTAGGTTGTACATCCAGGCTGGAGCACCAACAGCTTCTTAAACCAGCAGACATCTCTCTCAGTCCAGGAATGTTACTCTCAAGTCAGCTCCAGCTGGGACGCGTCTCTCAACCAGCAGCACCCTCACATACCTCCATCTCCCCGTGCAGCAGTGCTGCCTGCCCTCAAGTGCCACCAGGGCAGCCAAGGAATGCTCCTCAGGAACTCCACAACTCCTCAGGAACACAGCACTGCTCCTACACCCAGCTCTGCAGGGTGCCCTGGGGCCTGAGATAGAGACCTTGCTTGGCTCCAGAGCCCCATGTTGTTCAGCATTCCCAGACACAAACCTTGCTCAAGCTCAGCTTTTCTCCCAAGGACTAAGGAGAGGAACCATGGGTTCTCTCAAGCCCAAAGTTAAAAATTCCCTCCATTCCAAGGGAGCTCCACAGACACATTCTCCCTTTGCAGCAGAGAACAGTGGGACTGACTGACTTACACACATCGCTCACACCCTCAAGGGAGCCCTCTGCCCTCTCCACACTCCAAGCTGTGGTGGTTTCTTCCCTTTCCCAGCACAGAGCAACCCCCAGCCATGGACAGTGGCAAACTGGGAGCAAAGGGGTTCGCAAGGTATGGGCTTTGCTGGTCCTGTTGACTAATTGTAGCCTTACAGCTACAGTCCAGTGCACAGTAACTGGAACAAACAAATTGGAAGGAATATTGCCCAATACACTTTACTTTCCCCCAGGTCTGCCTCCCTAAATACTGGACAGAGAGATCCCCCCACACCTAGATGCAGGTAGACACGAGGCAGCACCATCTGGCTCCAGGGTTTATTGCAGCTGATTCCTCCCACCGTGGGTAGCAGAGCTGTGGGGGGAGCGGGGCCCGGGGAGGGAGCGGGGCCTGAGCAAAGCGGGGTCCACCGACTGCGCGGGGCAGGGAACCGGCACCGTGTCCCCCTCCCCAGGACGGGGGCGGGCACACCCACCCCAAACCAGTGCCCGTGTGCCCAGGGCTCCGGGCGATGGCTCCTGGGCCCCAGAGCCGCTGTGTTTCGGCTGGTGAGGGTGCAGGAGCTGCGGGCAGAGCGCTGGGACTCGCAGGGGACAGTGGGCAGGCACGGGAACGGGGCACTGAGCTGGGGATGGTGGCACCCCCCCACTGCCGGGGCTCTGGGCGCTGCAGCACGGTCAGCACACGTCAGTGGGTTTGACCAGGATGAGGGAGGACGCGCAGTCACCGTTGTCGCAGAACCCCGGCCAAACGATGTAGTTTTTGGCATTGAGCAGCACGTTCTGGCAACGGTTGTACCACCACCCCCCGTAGCTCTTGGCACAGTTCCCGCTGTACTGGTCCTGGTCCTTGTCCACCGTGCTGAACTTCATGTTGTCGTGAATGCCCCCCTTCTTGGGGTGGTAGAGGGTCAGGTAGTCGTCCCCATCACCAGAGTGCCGGCCCAGCCTCAGTGGGTACCCGCTGTCCTCGCTCTCCACTCTGAAGATGTCGTACTCGGCAAAGTGGGTGACGTTGGTTTTGTCCCGCACGACGAAACGCACCTTGTAGGTGCCCTGCTGGGTCAGCAGGTGCAGGTACTCCGTGCCCAGCCAGTAATCGGCGTGCACGTTCCCAAAGCCGTACTTGTAGGTGGTCCAGGACTGCTTCCAGTTGAGCTCAGTGTCATGAGAGTTCCTCTGGACAACAGTCCAGCCCTTGCCTTCGGTGTCCATGTCGCACCAGACCACGCGTGGGGGGGACCGGGCCGGCTGGATGACGTACACCCCGCTGGGGCTGTTCTTGCGGAGGTGGCTGCAGTCCGGGGGGAACCCTGAGGCTGCAGCAGCAAAAACACGGGTTGAGGTGGGAGAGAGAAGGATCATGAGCCTGTAAGGGTAACAAGGTGCTCCTGCAGGGCAGTGAGAACTCGGGACAAAAATGGGTAGTTCTGCCTGTGTTTTTTTCACTGGCTCATGCTCAGGGAATCCAGAAAAGTCTCTCTAAGCCAGTGACCTCTGTAAGAGCCCTGGAATCTATTTCTCATGGTTTGCTGTTTCATTTGGAGCCTTCATTGGACATCATTGGCATCTGGCCAGGAAAGAACGGGAAAAAAATCCTCCAGATGCCAGTGGTGTCCTCCAAGTATATCTGGCCCACACACAAGGCCCTTGATATATTGAGTTGCAGCTCTTGCAAGGATGAGAAGTGTCCAAAATGCTCCACTGGATGGCGATATGCAATGAGAATTTATGTTATCTCTGGGGGTCACAGCATTGAAAAGGAAGGCTCAGTTCTGCCGTAGTCTCATAGGGATCTCTTCTCCCAGCTTGTTACAGTTTATCTGATCTGTCATGACTTACTGGACAAACTAATTTACTGTCTAATTTGTGTTTCTTGGTTGTGTCTGATGGGAGACAATTTGCTGTGGGTAATTCCAATTCAACCCCTGAAAATCTATTTTACTCAAGCACTCAGGTCTTGCAGGAACTCCAGCCCTCCCTTGCAGGGAGTAAGGGAATGCTCCTAATCCAACAAGAGCAAAACAAAAAGCCAAATAGCTGGGAGGATCTCTCGTAGAACTGAGGTTCACAGTCATGGCAGAGCAACCCTGCCAAGGTGTTTGGGCAGGAACCTGTTGGTTTCAGCATGGAGCCACCAAAGGGGTGAAGGTGGCTTGGCAGGAGTCAGGCTGCACAAGCCATGGCCCCGGGGGTTGTGTGTGTGATGAGTTCCTGTGCTGTGCATCCCCCTGGGTGTTTGCTGACCTTCCCTAGCACACACAGCAGACTCAAGAGTCAGCGCTGAGCCAGGGAGAACCTGTCCTGCTCTGTCCCTCCATGCCCAGCTCGTGCCCCCCAGTGCCCCCTACTCACCACTCCGGGGGCTGGCAGTGGGTACGGCTGGGCCAGCGCTGGCACAGAGGAGAAACATCGCCAGCAGGGTGGGCAGGAGGACAAGGTCCCGGTGGAGCTGGTGTGTCCCAACCTGGAGCCCTGGGGAGGAGAGTGCCCATCACCACCAGGATCCCTGGTCAGCCCCCAGCATGCTCAGAGCAGGGAAGGCAGAGCCAGGGCTCAGTCAGGAGCAAGGGGCTCCCGGGCTGGTGGGAACTGCAGCTCCAGGGCAGGCTCTGCCCTGCAGGGCTGAAGCAAGGTGAGAAATGTCTTTGTTGCCTCCTGAGCAGCTCCTTCCCTACACCACACGGCAGCCTGCAGTTTGTTCTTGGAACCTACAGCCCAAGAGAGGGCAATGACACAGGTGGATTGCCAGGTGGGGAGGAATCACAAAAAACAGCTCTTTTTGGAGTAATCATGCTTATTTCTTTTATATAAGCCACTCCAGCCCAACCACAGATAGAAGGAAACTAAGCCTAAGGATGGGTCCTACTGCCCAGGTGCCAGCACCCAAGCAGACAGGAGAAATCTCCTGGGCCCCCACAGGGACAAAACCCCAAACCCTCTGTGCTGACCACCAGCACCCCTCTACATCCTGCACTCGCTCGGCTCCTGGGGGAGACGCCACCATGCCTGGGGCAGGACCCCTGTGTAGCCACATGTGCCACATGATTTGGTTGGGAAGGGAAAAGACCGAGGTGAAAACCTAGGTCTGCACCTTAACCTGCATGGGAACACATGGCACAGCTACCCCAGGGCAGCCACAGGCGTGTGTGTTGTTTGGTGCTTTGGTCTGGCATCCCTCCTGCTGGAGTCCTGCTCGTCATCTCCGTGCCTTTGCGTACTCACCCCGTCAGGTCTCGTTTGAGCCCAGCACCACACAGGAGTGAGGTGTCCCTGGGCAGGTCACTCACCCATCACGACAGCACGGCTGCGCAGAGAGCGGGAACCCGGCGGTGCACCCTCCCACGCCGAGCTGTCCACGCTGGCTTTATAGGCACTGCACACACCCACGTATGTTCACACTCATCAGCTCTAGAGGCACTTGCAGATTGTGACCCGAGCAGTTTCCAGATCCCATGACAGCAGAGCTGAGGGGAGGGAGGCATGCCCTTCCAGCCAGAGAGGTACAGAATAGCCCCCTCCACGCTGAGGGATTTCAGTTGTTGACTGTCCCTACACAAACACTACATGTGAATTGCCCTCCTGGAGCACATTCTGGAGAGCCAGGATCAAAGTGAAGTGGAGAGACCCAGCTGTTTAAGGACATACACTTAGAAACCAGCAAAGGAGGAGAGGTCTCCTGTGTGCCCAGTCCCAAAGGTGACCTTGGAAAGGTGAGGACAGGTCCTTAAGAGAGTGCCAGCTTGCTAACTTTCCACTGGCAGGTTTCAGGATCAGCACTGGGCTGGAGCTGCTGTCCAGCAGCCAGAGCCACTGCAGACATAGTGTTCCCTGGCACCCCAGTCTGTGTGCTCTGAGCAAGGGCTCCAGGTAACAAACAGGTTCCTGTGTGGTTCCTTTGCCACTCTCCTTCCCACTCCCTGTCCTTGGCCTGGTGAGACCCTGCAGATCCACCCCCAGCCCCAGAAATGTCGACCTGGAGTTGCACTGTCTGTGGGAGCAAAATGCTCTTAGGACAGACACTTTGGGAGGGCTCTTGTTCATACCAGGAGGTGTAAGCAGCTCCATCACCTTATCAAATTTAAGAGGATAAAGATGTGGCCCTTCTACTTCTCCTCTGCTGATTTCTGGCCAGATGTCTTCTTCTGGCACAGCTCCACACTCACTGTTCACAGCATGTCAAATTCAAGATGAAGCTCCCACCAAACTTTCCGTATTGTGGGTGCCCACATCAAGCAGTGCCACTTGCAGGTCTTGATGGACAGCAGCATCCAGACCTCTCCAAGGTAAGACAACCCTAGTAAGGAATTCCTGGATGGACAGGACAAGAGAAAGTGGCCTCAAGTTGCACCAAGGGAGGTTTAGATTGAATTTTAGGAAAAATTTCTTCATGGAAAGAGTTGTCAAGCACTGGAACAAGTTGCCTGGAGGAGTGGTGGAATCACCATTGCTTGAAGAGTTCAAAAAACGTGTGGATGTGGCATTTGAGGACATGGTTGAATGATGAACAGAGTGGTGCTGGGTTGACCTTTAGACTTAATGATCTTAGAGGTCTTTTCCAACCTTAACAATTCTGTGATCCTGTGATCAACTTCCATCTGAACCCTTTGATGTCACCACTGCTTGCTTGATGAAAGGCTGGGAGCCCTTGTCCACAGCCTCATTTAGTTTGGGAGAATGATAAAAGCTTATGGAGTTTATGGTGGGAGAAAGGCCCAAGCTGCTCAGGGAAGAACCCTTTCTGGGGGGCAGGGGAAGTGGGGGACTTAAGGGCTCTCATGGGCTTCCCCAAAGCTAATACAGCACCTCAGGGTGCCTGTGGCAGGACTCACAGGCAGACTGCTGCTGGGCAGCCACCTCTGGGATCACTGCTGGCAGCAGGAACACAGGCCCCACGGGAGTTGGACTCGGTGATCCTGATGGGTCCCTTCCAACACAGCATATTCTGTGATTCCATGATTCTATGGAGAGGAAACCAAGGCAATGGCCAAAGCAGCAATGAATGAATGACTTGAATGGGCTGTTTAGGGTCACACCTGGGCAGTTGTGAATGTCAAGGACTGGAGGTCCCACAACTTCTCTTTGTTTTTTTTCAGTTTTTGAACACCCTTGGGCTGATTTATATATATATATATATATATATATATATATTTTATATATATATATAATTTCCTCCTGTTCCTTATGTCCATTGACTCTCATTCTACCCTGTGCACCTCCAAGGAGAGTCACAGATGGGTGATAGATTAATTTAGGTTGGGAGGGACTTCTATAGGCCATCTAGTTCAGTCCCTGCTCAGTCAGGTTCTTGTCCAGTCAAGTCTTGAACACCTCTAAGGACAGAAATCCCACAGCCTCTCTCTGGCCACCTGTCCCAGTATTTGACCAACTTCACGTTAAAGAAAGTGTCTATTTGTTAATGGACTTTCCATGTTCTGACTTAGATAAATTGCTTCTTATCTCACCACCATGGACCTCCTTGAACAGTCCAGCTCCCTGTTTTCTGTGTCCTCCCACAAGACCATTGCCATCAGCGATGGGACCTCTCGGGTGCCTGTTCTTCTCCAGGTGGAACAAGCCCAGTTCTCTCCAATTCTGAAACATCCTGAGCCCCAGGCTCCCAGCCAGTCTGGTGTTCTCCAGGCTTGCTCCAGCCTGTTTCTTGCAATGAGGGGTCCAAAATAAGACACGGTGCTCTGAGGAGCCTGACTCCACCTGCTCCTCACCATCCTGCCCAGGTAGCTGTAGGCAGCCACAAGATCCCACCTCTGCCTTCCCTTCTCCAGGCTGGATAAGCTCATCTTTCTCAGCCTCTCCACATATGCCATGTGCTCCTGCCTCAGCTGTCCTGGGGCTCTTAGCTGGATCCTTCTGGAGCTGAAGCCACTGCTCTGCACAGTGGACCCACACACACAGCATTCCAGCTGCTGTCTCACCCATGGAAAGGAATAATCCCTTCCCTCACCCTCCTGGCTGTGTTTTTCCAGATGCAGACTGGGATGGAGTCACAAACAGATCTGTGGTTCTTTCTGTATTAGACACTGATCAAGGCCAGGTTGGACGGGGTTTGGAGCAGCCTGGTCTAGTGGAAGGTGCCCCTGCCCATGGCAGGGGGTGGAATGAGATGGTATTTAAGGTCTCTTCCAACCCAAACCATTCCAGGATTCTGTGATTTTATGAAGTTTACACTGAACAGGAGCTGGGTCTCAGGACATACCTGGGAGTTCGGAGAAATCCCCTCTGTGGCCTTTCTCCTGTCTGCTTTGCACACCCTAATCCCAACATGGGCATCCTGGAAAAGGGGCCTGGGGGCTGGATGCTGTTGGAGAAGCTCTGCTGAGGGCCTCAGCCTGGTTGTGCTCATACCTGCTGTTGGGCAGCAGCACAGCAGGGCAGGCACAGGAGTGTCCATGACCAGCTGGCCACACTGCAGGGACACAGCCTGTGACAAAATTCCAGCCCACTCTGCCACAGGTTCTGGCTGTCCAGCCCAAGCTGGATGCTGGGGCACAGGAATCTTCATAACTCAGAACACCGTGGGCATCAACCCCTGGGAAAAAGGAGGTCAGGTGTTTTCTGTAAGACATCCACGGTGTAGGCACTCCTGGAGCAGAGAAGGGCTCAAAGTGAGACCATTTTACATCAGTGTCACGTCACGATGCCCAAAACTCCAGCTCGTGATGGTGCCAGGGGGGCCACGGTGTGTGTTGTGCAAGGGGCAGTGCCGTGGGGGGGGGGGGGGGGGGGGGGGGGGGGGGGGGGGGGGGGGGGGGGGGGGGGGGGGGGGGGGGGGGGGGGGGGGGGGGCAGGGGTGTCAGGAGGCAGCTGGAGTGGCACTTTTTGAAGTTTGGGGCACAGTTTCCCAGGAACATTGGAGTACCTCTTCCCTGAAGGGTCTGTGGGGTCCCCAGGGGCTGTTGAGCTCAATGCCGGCTCTGGACAGAGCGATTTACGCTCAATGTTTGATTTCCATCCAGAAGGGGAATGTCACCCGGGTGTTTACTCAGCAGTTAAACTGTGCGGAGGTGCCCCAAGAACGTCGTTCCCTGGGGAAACCCTGCCAAGGCAGGGGGGCAGCCGGGTGCTGTAAATTGTGGTTATTTTGAGGCGTTTGCTTATTGGCACTGAATTATTTGCTTTGCCTCTGAAGAAAGCTCTTCACCTGTGTGAGACGCAGACTTTGTTGTGTGAGGGCTGATCACTTGATGGTGGAGAGCAAATAAGCCCTAAGCCACTGGTCTCGTTGCCAAGCAGAGGACAAGTGCTGTGGTTTGGGTCTCGTGCCTCCACCCCCTCGCCTGATCAGCCCTATAACTTTCAGGCTGGACACCCCTCCAGCCAGGCCAAAACCGCCTGGCTCTGTGCTCCGCAGGGTCCCCGCAGAGACGGCATGGGTGAGTGTGGGGTGGGATGGGATGGAGTGGGATGGGATGGGATGGGATGGGATGGGATGGGATGGGATGGGATGGGATGGGATGGGATGGGATGGGATGGGATGAGATGGCAACTCTGTGTGTGGCTGTGGGTCACAGGGCACCCCAGCACTTTGTCTGCTTCAGGGGTCCCTCCTCCCCACACCCTGAACATCCCAGTGCCGAGTCCACCGCCTTGTCTGAGCCCGCTGCGCCTTGGGTTGGGAACTTGGGCAGGAGCCTGCACGCTCTGCTCTACTTCAAGGCTGTACCAGTGTAGCTCTGGAGTGCCAGAAAGCCCATTTTACAATCCTCATATTTATCATTCTTTGCAATTTTCAGTTCTCCAAGGAAAGTTGTTAAATATTCTAGACTAGAAAATGGATGCCCCACTCTGATAAATTATTCTGATAAATTTTCTGTTATTTTACTTAGGTTTAATATTGCAAAAAGTGTGCTGGTTTCCCCTGCTGCTCTGAACAAGAACAGACCAGAGCAGCTGGCTACATATGGAAATTTTCAAGTAGCCACATAACTGACATAAGCACACCAAGGGCATAATTTCCCCCAGCCAGGCTGTAATTCCTGAAGGGTCTGTGCTGCCATTCACTGTCTGCTGCTTTGCACACACACGGCTCTGCCTGGGACTTGTCCCACCCAGACACCCGGGGTCTTACTGCCCACAGCCCCGAGGCAGTCCCAGCTCAGACAAGGTCAGTGTGTCAGGGGAGTGTGATGGGAGCTGGCAAGAGAGGGGATTCCTCCTTCCATGTTCACCCTGCTTGTTATCTCCAGCCTCGAGTCTTGGGTTTTACAGAGATTTCTGATGACAGGCACTGTGGGTTTGGACAAGGTTTTGGCACTTCTTCTGTCTCAAAAACCACCTCAGCAGTGCCACCACTAGTGACTCCTGCTAATGAGTAGGGTGTCTCATATAAATGAGCTGATCTACAAGAGGCTCATGGCTCCAAGGGGGACCTCTACACAGAAAGAGTTTTATTTTCCTGTTTTACTCAGCAAGTAAAGGAATAATCCAGTGAGATTCGTGGCTCTCTAATTGAAGAGTTATGATCTCTTTCTTCTTTTTCCAATCTCTTCCCATTTCAGCTACCCAGTGCCTTTGTCTCCTGCTTCTTACCTGCCTGCTGGCCCTGGCAGCATCTCTTCCTGACCTTGACATAAGAAACTTGTACCTCCTCAATGGCACGATGGACGACATCATGAATGCTCCTCCAGAGTCCCCCCAGCCTGGTAAGTGTCCAGTACAACAAGGAGAGGCAAATAAGGTCCTGATCCTACACAGATCCCAGGAGAAGGGACAGGTTTGGTCCTACTGGCAGCAAGGCCAAGACAAGGGTCATGTGCTCTTCCTTGAAGAAATAGGGTTAAAGATGTTCACAGTGTGTTTTAAGGACATGAAGAACAGCCCCCACCTCTGGAAATCACGAGGTCAGTGGAGAACTCAATTCAAGGCAGACCTCAATACAAAGAGGAAATAAATGAAGTTAATACAAAGAGTGCAAGCAGTGGCACTGGTGGTGGTGGCAACCAGGTGGTGGCACAGAGTAACCTGCATATGCCAGAGTAAGTTGGAGCAATGAGGAAGCCTTCAAGAAATGCTCCTGGAAAAAAAAAAACAAAAAAACAAACAGGGGCTGTGGATGGGACGTGGCACAACAGAAAGTGCTGGTTCCTTTCCAAGGCAGAAGGATGAATTCCTGGCAGAAGAACTCAAAGTCCAGGTATTTGGTGCTGGTTTCACATCAGCTGTCAGGAAACTGCCAACACAGGGAGCCTCATGACTGAGACAAGAGCTTGGGCTTCAGCAGGAACTGCAAGTCTGAGGAGAGAGAGAAAACGTGCTCTGGACTGCACAGTGCTCTCAGGCAGGTGGTGTGATTTTAGGGTTGTTCTGTGCAGGGCCAGGAGTTAGACCTTATGACCCTTGTGGGTCCCTTCTAACTTGGGATATTCTGTGAACCTGTGATCTCTCACCCACAGCACTGGTAGCGTGCTCTGAAAATAGCAGCAGCATGAATGCAAGCTGGGTGAGCAGGGAGGCATGCCAGGCAAGACAGGCCAGCATTCCAAGTCTTGTCTTGGGGAGGAGTGCATCCAAATGGATGGGGGATGAAGGCAGAGAGGAGCAGGGCGAGACTGTGGCTCACAAAATGAACAGGAGTGAACAGCTTCATATGGCTGCAGAGAAAGTCAATGCCATGGTAAGAAAGTCCTCCAGACCATGCCACATGAGTGTTTCCCACCCCACACAGGTTCAGGCAGTGGAGAGAGTCAGAAGGAGTCAAAAAGACAGTCAGCATCAAAACTCAGAGAGTCAAAAATCTGGCAAGCTGACTGTGTCAGGAATGGGCTTATACACAGTGTGCAAGAGCCATAAATTAAACACTTCACGAGGGAGGGGGTAGAACAGCACCAGCTGAAAGCAGGGAACAGGTATTTGAGGGTGGCAGGGAGCAGGTATTTGAGCCTATCAGAGCAGCAGCTGCAGGGTGAGGTGTCTGTTCCAGAGAAGGGACAGGAATGGCTTTTGTGATTCCATAAGCCTGTGACTCATTCCTCTCAGTGGATACATAGAAGATGTCCTTGCCAAAGAACTGCATTAACTCACTCAAAACCATTCTCTCTTCCAGCAGCACCCTTCAAATTCCATTCTGATCCAGCTGAGCAGAGCCCTGTCCCAACTCCTGATATCTGCACCAGTTTTCCTGTGTCTGGTCTCACATTTCTTCCCCCTGTAATCCCTCTTCTTCCTGAGCCCCTTCCAAGCTCCTGCTGCTGCACTGTAACAACCATCTTACCAGTGTCGTTGCCCCCACTTAAGGGGGGCACACTTTCCTCATATAGTGTGCCCAAAAATCCTTTCCACCAGGAAGGCATCTGCCTCACTCTAACACCACCTAAATTCCCCTAAACTACTGACTCATTGATATATGAAATCAGGAAGTTCTTCTGGAATTAGGAACAGCAAGAGAAAAACAGGAATATCATCTGGAGGAGATCATGCTCTCCCAGCAGCCATTTGACATGTCTCCTCTGTTCTGCTAATTTAGATGACGGTGATGGACACGTCCGACAGGCCAGAGACATCGGCCACCACCCGCCAGCAAGTCACGGTGAGTGTCTGCATCTGCCTGGGAGGTTTCACTCCTGCTGGGCTCACCAGCAGCTCTCAGACACTTTATCCATGTCCTAGGTGTGCACTGGCTCCTCCCAGGAAAAATGTTGGTTTTCTGATGGGCTGCAGAGGAGCCACAGCTCATAACCTCAGGGGACTCTGTTACCAGCCGTGTCTTGGGCTCAGTAGTCGATGAGGACCTTTAGTGTGGGGAATTTTCCAGCTAAAGATCCAAACTGGAAAGTGATGATTCATTACTGGGAAGTGGTGATCGGTAATTTTCCCATTTTCACCACACAGTTGATGAGAAGACTGGTGCTGACTGGCTGAGTCAACATTAGCCCATAGGAGCAAAGATAGGTCCTGTCTGGGTGAGGACAAAGAGTGGCAGAGGTACTGGGAGAGGAGCAAGTCACTCCCCAGGAGTGTGTAGGTGCATTCAGCTGTTTGTTGTATGAGGTGCTGACACTCTGGAGCGTGGAAAGGCCATAATCAAATCCAAGTCAGGAAGTCTCTACAGAGCTACTTTGGTAATCCCCAGAGAACACCAACAGCTTTGCCCTGTGGAGTTCCCAAGGGCTGATCTAACTGTTAACGGTTTTGAGGTTGTGATCACCCTCTCTCTGGGGTTTCTGAGATTACTGCAAAGGTCTAAAGCCTCTGTGCTGTACCCACAAGTGGCTTTGTCACCCAGATTTGCATTATTCTGTGGTCATACATCACCTGCATGACACAGGCAAATCACTACAGCACTGTGAGACCGAACCCAACCTGGGCGAGGGTCCTTGGGTGATGGCGATCCCTGGCTTGGTCTCACCAGGCCCAGACAGTGTGTCCCCATCAGTTTGAATCTTGGGAAGATGTGAAATTCTTAAGTTAAGTTAAGTTAAGTTCTTAACTAATTAAACTCCTACACTGATCATGTCAAAATTTTGATTCACTCCTGTGAGTGCATGGCAGGAATATAGTGGCAGTAACAGAGCCTGTGGCAGGAATGTGTGTGCAAAAAGATCTAAGCACAAAAGGAGTATCCCACTTTCAGCGTGTCATTGTGTGGGATTTAATAACCATCTCTGTTTCCAGCCTCGGGTTGGCCCAAGGACTGCAGCGAGATTCCCCGGGGCAGCCACAGCGGTGTCTACATCATCCAGCCCAAAGGGCTCCACCACCTCGTGGTGTACTGCGAGATGAATGTGACCCACGGAGGCTGGACCGTGATCCAGAGGAACCAGAGAGACACACCAGTCACCTGGGCCGAGTCCTGGAGCACCTACAAGTTCGGCTTCGGGAACGTGCGCACCGAGTACTGGCTGGGCACCGAATACATCCACCAGATCGCCAAGCAGAAGGTCTACCAGGTCAGGTTTGTGATCCAGGATTCTGCAGACACCATCAGCTTCGCAGACTACAACCTGTTCAGCGTGGAAGACGAGTCCCACGGCTACAGGCTGAGGCTGGGCGCCTACAACGGCACGGCGGGGGATGCCATGACCTCAGACAATCCCAACAACATGCACGACAACATGAAATTCTCCACAAAGGATCGGGACCAGGACACTTACAGTAAGAACTGTGCCTACAGCTATGAGGGCGGGTGGTGGTTCTCGTCGTGCTACTCTGTGAGGCTGAATTACAAGGGTGGCATGTCATGGGGCAACCTGTGCAAGGGGAACTGCAAATCCTCCCTTATCCTCATCAAACCAGCTTCGTACTGTTAGTGCTTCCTCCTCCTCCTGTCCACACTGGACACTCTGCAAAGGCTCTGCATGGCTAAAGAGCGTGAGCCTCTCCGGAGCAGAGTGAGGAGCCCAAAGATAGCAGGGCTTTAGTGAAATGCCACTTTCCAATCCCCACTCTGAGTGCAGGCTCCCCTCTGCTCAGCTCTGTTCCCCTGTGCTTGCCAGTGATTCCTTGTTGTTACGTTCATAATCAAGAATAAAAACATTACTTGTGAAATTTGCGGATTCCCCGTGTACCTTCCCTGAGGGAGGAAGACGCAGCCCTGGAGTGACGTCAAAAGTTCCCTGCCTCCAGAACTCACAGTGAGCAAAAAAGCTGCATGCCACAAATTTCCATGTACTCTGAGAGCCTCTCTGCAGTGTCTGGTGAAGCATCCAAATAAATGTGCTTGCTTGAGCTCATTCACCAGTAATGATACCTGTTCTCTGTCTCTGGTGTGATCATATGAGACTTGGGAAATCCCATGTCAGATGGCAGGATGGAAGTCTTGGGGCTTATCAGAGAGTCACAGAATCACAGATTGGTTTGGTTTGGGTTGGAAGGGACCTTGAAGCTCATCTCATTCCACCTCCCTTGACGTGGGCAGGGACACCTTGCACTAGACTGGGTTGCTCAACCTGGAGGCAGAAAGCCTTGAGTGGTTCTCACTGGAATGGATGTAGGAAAATTAAACCCAGTTACGCTGCGATAAAGGCCCTGGGATCTGCACAGGGGGGTTCAGAAGGGACCAGGCACACGGGAGAACTCACCCCACATCATCACCACACTCACAGTCCCGGGTCAGAAGCTGTGGCAATGTCCTGGTGCCAGGGTCCTGCTCCTGCAGGGAGGCTCTGTCTGTCAGGATGTGTTCCTTGGTGCCTGGCTGTCTGCACAGACATATTTTGATCGTCTAGAAACAGGATTTCAAAGTCGTTGGTAAATCTGTCTGCTGTGACCGAGAAGCAGCAAACTGAAATAGAAGCAAAGGAGAAGTAGGTTAGATGTTAGAAATGAAGAATTCTCCACTTGAACTAGGAGACACTAATGAGGGCAGAGTTCATAATGGGATCACCTTATCCAAGTTTCTGAGACCAGTTTAGATGAACTTTTGCCAGGCAAAGTGTAGACAGAGCTAATGCTGTGAGGATGCAGGACAAGACTGTTACAGCTCCTCCATCCCATAGAGTTCTGGCACTGCCAGGACAGACTGTTGGAGAAGCACTTTGGCCTTCACAAATCCCTCCTGGTTTTGTCCTGGGGCAGCACAGTAACAGCCATGAATTTCACTTCCAGGACCAGCCATGATTTTCACCTTCCAGGGCCAGGGAAAACCCATCCCTGGCCCACCAGCTGCAGAGCCCAGCATGCACTGGGAGCCACCCAGAGAGGTTTGAGAAATTAGAAAATGCTGAGAGAAATGAGCAGTGGGAGATGTCCCAGCCAGAAAGGACCTGGCACTGCTCCAGGGAATGGCCCTCAGCACTGCAGAGTGGGGGGCACCTGCAGCTGTGGGGGTCTGAGGAAAAAGAAAATCTGGGGCTACTCCTGGTGGAAGTGCCCCACTGAGAGCCTCCAGCATCAACTTCTGAGCCCCCCAAACCAGAGCACGGAGGACTGGTGGGACCTCCACGTACAGCCCGTGCCTGCCTTGGACTGGGCACCACAGCATGGGGAGGGGAGGCACGGCACAGGAGAGCTCCAGCATGCATTTGTGTTGTCTGGAAGAGCAGCTCTCCTATGGCAGGAGCACAAGCTGGTATCAGCAAGGAGAGATGGCTGTTGGGAGGGATCCTGGAAATTTTCTTCTAGGTCTCTGAATCACTGCAAACATTTAGTGACCACAGCACCCTGTGGCAGCAGTTCCCGGTCCCAGTGGGGCAGCGCTCCCACCTCTGCCCTCCCTGGGGGTCGAAGGGGCTCGAACAGAGTTGCAGTGACAGGGTGTCCCAGTGACAGGGTGTCCCTTGGCTCCCGCCCTGTCCGGAGCCGTGGGGACAGGGCACCGGGGTGCCACAGGACGGGTGAGACCACGGCGGCAGCAGGCGGGATGTGCAGAGCAGAGTGCGGGACGTTCACGGCGCGGGGGCCGTGCGAGGCGCGCACAGCGGGGGTGCGGGGTGCGGGTTGT